GTGGGGAGCTTCCTTCCGGGTGCTGGGACCAGCTCACCTTCTCTGCCCTAGGAAGCCTGGGATAAGCAACTGATTTTTCAAAACTCATGTACATCAAAAGATTTAGGCCGCTATGAACAGATTTCAGTGTTTTAGCAGAAATGCACAAATGGCACTTGTCTTGTAGGGCTGTTTGTTCAGTTATGCAATTAATACATTTTATATCAATTAAACATTCATCTGTCCTTTCCCAATAATGCCAGAATACATTTAGATATATTATTAGGCAATGTTGATAAGTTCCAAAATGGAACCCTAGGTTGGTACATGGCTATAATGCCAGGACTTGGGAGGCTGAGGCAGGAGGAGTTTGAGCCCAGCCTGAACTACATAGTGACTTCAAAGCCAGCTGGAACTGCATAGGAAGACCTTGTCTCAAATAAACAAAAAAACTAAAATGGAATCCTAAATTCAAAGGAAAAGGACATACATAGCAAATATTGCTCATTTACTCCAGAATTTTTTTTTTTTGTATCAGGGCTTGAACTCAGGACCTTGAGCTTTCAAAGCAGGCACAGCCCCACTGAGCTAAATCCCCAGCAGGAAATGTTTTTTATATTCATGTAGAATAGAAATTCTTAATTGAAGTTTCTACCTTAATAATCTTTGAGTAATCTTCATAGCAGGGTTTTGTTTTCCAATTATCCAATGTAAAAGGATCATCCTATGAAAATTTTGAAGGTGACTCTAAGAGGAAAGTATTTCTCAGTGCATGAAAATTATGCCATCTTCCTCATAGTATTTTGGATGCTCCTATGTCTCTCCCTTGCTAGAAATAATCTACATCTTCACTATGCCCAATTAACTGCCCAATCTGATTCATATGTCAGTTTTCTAAAAGGTCCTTCTTGACAGCCAGCTTTCTACAATGCTAATGCTGCCTTCCTATGCTATATGTCTACCTTCTTTCTTTGCATTTAGGATACTACTGTAGCTAAAATTTTAATGAGTATGTATCATGTGAATGTAAAATTTTTTTCCTATTATCTTTTATTTTGCATTGTATATATTGGGGTTGTCATTTAAGAGAAACCATGTGATATTTAACCTTGTGTGTCTGATTTACTTAAAAGTCTCACGGTGCATCTATTTTCCTACGAATAACTCGTTTATCCCTCTTTATGGCAGTGTAGTACTCCATTTTGTCTGAACACATTTTCTTTATCCGTTCCTCTGTTGATAGATGTTTAGGCTGCTACGAAGACTTAGCTATTATAAAATGTGTCCTATTTTGAAGGTAGTGTTCACATGTCATATACACGTTTGTGGTTTTTCCTTTTCCTATACTCCAGCAGAGAATCTAGTGTATAACAGCTCAACTTTTTTCCTTGATTTGATTTATTCAATTGGTGATGAGGATCAAACCCAGGAACTCACAACATCTTAAACACCTGCTTTTCCATTGAGCTCTATCTATCCTTAGCCCTTGAGCCTAACTTTAAATTGAGGAAGTTTGTTATTAAACAGTAAGAAATGGCATTTGCTAGATGCAGTAAAAAAAGCTGGTATCAACATATTTATGAACTCCATTTTTGTGGCAAGACAGCATAAATATTCCCCTAGGTCAGCTTCTCTGGTGAATCTTAGGAGCAAATGAGTGTAAAGCCCCTGCCTCTGGTATAACTGCAGCCTCTGCTGAAAGGAAACAGACTACTGAAAGGCAGACTCCTGATTTTTGAGAAAAAAGAGCAATATATTTACATGAGCACTGGAGCCTCTAGGGTTCTGTAGGCATTCTTCCTGTTCAGGGAATAAGATCTAAGCACTCAAGTTACTGAAAAAGAGAAGTTTGGTAGAGATGATCTTTGTCTAAGAGATCTGGTCACTAATGTTGTACCTATCCCAGGGGAGAATGCCTGAACCATCTCCCTATCTTGCTGTGGAACTAGGACTGAGAAAGATGAGGGATCAGTTCAGGTATCACTTTCTTCTTTTCCATTGTATTTGATAAGTAAGCCTCTATCTTTACTTTAACCACCTAATATATGTATATCACAATTAATCAACCCAGGTTAGGTAAGTTAAGAAATTTTAAATAACTGTTCCTTATGGGTCAGAGACCATTCAAAACAGGACTATGAATTCATCTTTGTTCATCTTTCAAAGACTGTAGTCCAGACACTACAAATGTGATGAAATTTACTAGTCAGCACAAAATGAGAAAAACAAAGCCTGTGAATTTTAGCTACTTTTATTCAAATTTTTGGCATTAAAATACATTTGAAGAAATGTTTTGATAACCAGAGCTCTAGCTCTTGGTTATGGGAAAATGAGGACCATATCCTAGGGTTGAAGGGAGCCTATGTCCTTAAAGGAGGCAGAAAAAAAGTCCACTATTTCAGGCATGAACTGCATCTGGACTTCTACATACAAGAGAATTAAAATCCTAACTGGTTCAATCCACTGTTAATTTAGTTGTCAACTGCAATCAGACATAGCTGTTGTTTCCCAGACTTCTGTGGTAGGAGCATCATTTGAGATATATAGTACAATGTATTACAGTACAGTGATAAGACCAAATTTATTTCCCATATAAAGATGTAAGACCTTTGCTTGAGGAATACTGATCCATTAAAGATGGAAGTCATATTTTAAAAAGATATTTACAACATAACCATAAAAACAAATGCTAATGTTAAATTTGTAGCCTGTTTAATATTGACAGGCTTTGTCTAAAAAATTTATTCTTATATACCCATGATGATAGGTTAGAGACAAAATTCCTAGTTATCATGAAATTTGTACACATTTTTCTAATAGATCTGACATATGAACTCAGGGCCTCATGCATGCTTTTTCGAAATTTTACTTTGAATGCCAGGCATGGTGGCACATGCTTGTAATCCCAGCACATAGGAGGCTGAGGCAGGAGGATTGCCATGAGTTTGAGGCCAGACTAGACTACATAATGAGACCCTGTCTCAAAAAACAAATAAAATTTTGAGACAGGCTCTCATTAAGTTGCCCAAGCTACCCTTGAACTTGTGATCCTCCTGCCTCAGCCTTGAGTAGCTGGGATTACAGGTGTGCACCACCTTGCCCAGCTTTCAATGACTTAATAAATTGGCAACATCTTTTAATGTTCCGAATGCCTATAAAGTCTTATCATTAAGCATTATTTTACCAAAAGGAATTTTGAGTTCTAATTTTTTTCTTTTATAGTTTTTATTCGTCTTTTCAAGATGCTTTAAAAAAAACAGCTAATGGAAAAACCCAAATTTCTCAAACAGAAAAATCTGGACAACTGATTACTGTATTTATAATACATTCTTTCATGGTATTTCAAAAGCACATTGGGCCGGGGATTTAGCTTAGTGGTTCCACCTCCTTCCCTGCAAGCAGAAGGACCCGAGTTCGATCCCCAGTTCCAAAAAAAAACAACAAAAGCACATCTTAATTCAAACCACAGCCTTTAAAGAGAAATTATAAAACAGTATAATTTCAAGAGTTTTTATAGGTAGAGAATGCAGACCATATACCATGTTTTGTAAACACAAAGAAGACAAAGATAGTGATGTTAGCTATTATCAAGGATGAAAATATTATGTAAGCTTTAAAAGACTTTTTTGCATCTGTATAAATAATCTGATACTTCTCTACCAATTTTATTTATGGGAAGAGTCTCCATAATTAAATTATCATTCACTTTCATGCCCCGACATGGGAAGTGGTAGGTGAGTATCTGTAGGAGTATAATTTATTGTCTGCTCCTCCACTCAGAAGTAACTGTACAAAGAGAAAAAAATATATAAAAATGTAAGTAAATATAATTATTTCATATAATAGCTAAACCTAATTAAATACTGATGATTACAAAAGGAATTATAGATGGATAGGTAACTAGCACTGAAAGTTAGTACTTAAAGGGACAAATTCCAGTAAGTTTCACTTCCATCAGGTTGAGTATTCCTGACCCAAAAATCTGCAGTCTGGGCTAAGGATGTAGCTTAGTAGTAGAGCACATGCTCAGCACTTGAGGGCCCTGGGTTTAATCACCAGCACCAAAACAAAACAAGCAAAACCCACAAATCAAAATGCTCTAAAATCCAAAACCTTCTGAAGGCCAAATGATGCCACAAGTGGAAAATGATACGAGACCTCATGAGATGGGTCACAGTCACAATGTAAGAACACTAAAAATATCGTATAAGATCTCCTTTGGGTTGTGCATATAGCATGTACATGAAAAAAGAAAAGATTCAATATACATATGTATCAATTCCCCAAAATGGCTATAATTAATATGTATCACAATGTATACTAATAAAAACATTTTAAAAGAGGAATTTCATGTTTAGACTTGCATCCCATCTTCAAGATATTTCATGTATATGCAAACATTGAAAACTCTGAAAAAAAATCCAAAATCCAAAATGCTTCTGCTCCTAAGCATTTCAGATAAGGGACACTCAACTTATATTATGACAGAATACATTAAAACAAATAGGGCCAAGGGTTTAGCTCAGTGGTGCCGCCACCTGCCTCACAAGTGGAAGGTCCTGAGTTCGATCCCCAGTACCAAAAATAAATAAATAAATAAATAAAAATAAAAGTGATCATTTGAATTTGAGGCACAGTATGCTATTGTGCTTTCTATGAAGCATCTGCTAAGATGTAATAAAATAATTGGAAAGTAATATAGTTTTACCTAAGAAAATCAAGTTTTTAAAGGATAGCGTGTTAACTGTTTGCAGACAATGTACATTGCAAATTATTCAAGTAACCCAAGAACTTGTATGTGGAAAGAGTTCTTAGGCCATAAAAGCTTATCTATATACATTTTTTAAGAATTAAATTGTAATTCTTTAAACTAATTTTGTTTTTGATTTTTCCAGACAGAGTATTGCTACATAGTTCAGGCTGGCCTCAAAAGTGCTATGTAGCCCATGCTGGCTCAAATTCAAGATTCTCCTACCTCAGCTTCCTAAGTGCTAAGATTATAGACATGTACCACAATCACCCAATTTAAACACTGTTTCTTTTTGCAGTACTGGGGATTAAACCTAAGGCCTTTGCACTAAACTACATCCTTCAGCTTTTCCTATTTGGTTTTTTTTTGGTACCGGGGATCGAACCCGAGACCTTGTGCTTGCAAGGCAGGTGATGGAACCACTGAGCTAAATCCCCAGCCCCCTCCTATTTGTTTTAAGAAAGGTTTTCACTATGATGCCCTGGTTGGGTTCAAACTTTCGATCTTCTTGCCTCAGTCTCCCACAGAGTGCTGGGATTACAAGTATATGCTATCATGCCCAGCTTAAACACATTTTATAATCTGTATTTATTATAAAAGATGTTCTAACTGGGAATTACTTTGATTAATCTGAAGTAGTCAGTTTATAGACTTAAAATGCTTAAGACATTTTCAAGAAAAAACTGTTTTACTACTATTACTAGAGAACAGATTTGATTCTTTTTTGAATGAGGTGGTTTTATTGTAGTAAACAGAATTATACAAAGTAGATATCTTGAAACTAATGCCTTTATAAACACAAATACCAGATTTATTCTCATAATATATTTGCCTTTTCACCAAAAAACTAAGATTCTTACCCCCGTGTCTGTCCAGTCTACACTTAGAACTTTGTCTTCATGAGCAGCCAGATCATAGAGTGGAGCTTTACAACTAAAAGATGAAAATAGCAACATGTTATATGTATTCACAGTATTACACATATGAATAATCACTTATACTTTTCTGAAAACTGTACATTTATCATCTTTGTCCCAATAACCATTTCATCCGAACATTCTGAGGACTGCTCACTTCACCTGTTTTTCCTATGTCATTTGTAGACTACAGATATTTATTATAATATACACAGAAAAAATGTTAATTATAAAAATTTATTCATAATTAGGCCCGTTTTCATACTTCCCTCACTTCTTTTACCCCCAAAGCACAGCTTTACGTAACCTCTCTCCAGCCGTAAACTTACATTCTCACATAAACTTACAACTCCTAAACTTACATTCTCAGCCCAAACTTCTCCCTTGAGCTTGATATGTATATCCAACTGCCTTACAGCTATAGGGGCACTAGAAATTTAAAATGACAAAATCAAAGCTCTTGATTTTACCTTCCAAACCTGTTTATCTACTCTTCTCATCATAATAAGTGGCATCACCAATTACCCAATTGTTCAGTCATAAAATGAGGACATTATCCATCGTTCCTGTCTCCACACTTAATCCCTAAGAATAAAAACTGCCACTCATCTCTAATGCCACCACTACCTATGTCTAGAATACAATAGCCTCTGGTTCTGCTCGTTCCCCTGTTCAAAACCCTGCAAAGCCTTCCCATCACCCTTATAAGAAAGCCCAAACTCACCACCACAGTCGTCAGGTACTAACCACTACCTGCCTCATGTCCTGCCATGTTCTCCCTTGATTACTCTATCAACAGTGGCCTTCTTGCTATTTTGCCACTATGCCAAAATTCTTCCCATTTTATTTGTTGTTCCCTCTGTCATGCCATGTGTGGCTAATACCTTCACATAATATAATTCACTACTAAAATATTTTCAGAGAGACCTTCCCCAAAGATGTGTCCCTTTACCTTGTTTTATTTTTTTCATAGTACTTAATACTATTATCAGGAACTATATATTAGTTGCTATATAAAATGTCAATTAAAATACATATACCTCCTAAATATTAACATCATGTATCATAGGGTAGTATAAGGCTCCTAGAAGCCAAATTGAAGGTCAAAAACAACAGCAATACACAAACAAGTACGTTAACACATTCCTTTTGTAATGATATACAAAGAGTATACATTTTATTTAGGCATTCTATATATACGTATCACAGCACTAAGCCTGTAAGAAAGACTCCTTTAATATCTTTTAAAATAATTTTTAAATTTAATCTATTAATATATAATTTATAGAAAGATCAGGATGATCTTTCTAAATTCTCCTGTCTTCTAACAAAATCAGAAAGCTGGATTTTAAAAAGCGTGGACTTTTAAATAATTTTCTATTTATTTGGTAAAAGATAAAGTAACATGGAATTAGGTGTTTTCAGGATGCTAAAAAACAACAGTATCCTTTGATCCTGCCTTTTCTGGAATAACCATATTTATCAAGTATAATCAAACTTTTTTTACCCATCTGAGTCTGGATAATCATTTCATGTTTTGTACATAACACTAATTGATATCTTTATTTCATAGAGTATAACTAGAATTTACCTTCTTGTATCCCACAGCTTCACAACGTTATCTAAAGAGCCTGAAATCAGTTGTTGTTCATGGGTTGGAGACCACTTTACTGATGTAACCCAGCCTGTATGTGAGGTGAGAGATAGCGACACCAAAGAACCATCTGAACAAAACAAAAAAAACAATTTCTAAATTTTAGGAAAGTAAGCAAAATAAGCCTAACAAAATATTTGTAGAAAAAAATTTTATATCCCCCAAATACAAATATGATTATACAACTCACCTTTAGTTCGAGGATCCCACAGTCTGATATGCCTATCTGTGCTGCCAGATGCTAAACGTTTACAGAGTGGAGAATAGGAAATACAATTAAACACTTTATTACCTGTCTGAAAAAGAAAAGGAAATAACATTTAACACAGGACTAACAGCAGCCATTTTTAGAAGTTTATCACTTAAAAGAGCAAAGTTACCAGGAACACTGAAATTAAGTCTTACCAAAGTTGACTTAAGACTGCCAGACTCAACATCCCATATTCTAATTGTGTGATCCCAAGAAGCACTGCAGATTTCTTCAGCATCTGACCACAGTACTGAGGAAATTGCTTCAGTGTGGCCTGAGAGGGTCATCATGGGAGTCTAGAAATAAAAGAGGAAAGCATTTTCATTTCAAAGTAATTAAAACAATAATAGTAGTTACTAACTTCCAAAGCCCACGTCAGATATTTTGCCAAGTGTTTTCATTTTGATATTTTGCTGCCTTTCTCCTTTACAACAATCCTCTAAGATGGATATACTTGAAGCTGAGCAAGATAACTTGTTCCACATTTTATTCCAAAATGTCTCATCTTTCCACTACATTCTGATGCTTCCTTATCTCTTCTATTTTTCATTTTGAGGAGTATTAATGTTAACACTAACTCTCCCAATGATTGAAAGGTTAGGACTGAATAGTCCTTATATGACCTTAGGCTGACTCTTCTTCTTGCTTGTAGTTCTCAGAATAACTGTAGAATGTTAGGAATGCAACATCCTGAGATATGGAAGGCCTGACCAGAACAGCCTGGTTCTGTTCCCGGGCCCCGGGAGAAACAGGATGCCCTTCAAAATGTTACCCAGTGAGTCCCATGACCCAAGACATAAAACCCAGGGCTGTTTTTTGGAAACCTTCTGCTGTCATACAAGGTGCACACACACAGTCAAGATTCCATCCACTGTGGGCAGTTTTCTTGAGCTTTAGAAAACCACCTTACAATGGATCCTAGGCTTCTGTTGGCTCTCTTGATGCTCCTCTGTAAGTGATAATTCTACTTCCTATAACTGGTTATATGTTAATGTGTTAAGTCTCACTGAGGCAATCAGTAAAATTGCAGCCCAGGATGTAGTGGATAGAAGCATTTGAACTCCTATTCCTGATGCTGGCAGTTTTGATCTTTACCATCCTTCAGGTAGTGAGAGTCCTCGCTTGGGATCAGTTACTAGTGAATCTGTTTCTCAGAAGAAAAAGCTTTGGGGTTAAACAGATCTAGGTTTGAGTCAAGGTGCTGTCAATTTCTATAAGACTCTTCCAGGTACATTAATCTCAATATGCTATTTTCATCCTTCCATTTCCTCACCATCTTTAAGTCCTATTATTTAAATTTTTTTTTTCTGAGACAAAGTCTCACTATGTATAGCTAAGTGGATGCACACTGAGGCAATACTCTTAAGTGAAATAAATAGGACACACATGTATAAATACCGAATAGTTTCTCTGGTGTGAGAAACTGAAAGTGTAAATAAGGACTAAAATGTATAACAGGTAATGTGAAATAGGAAGAAAAG